AGTATGTGGTTGGTTTGCTTCATTTAGGAATGAGCCTTAAAAAGATGGGGGGAGGGGAAGCCATCTGTGGTGTTTTAAAAAAACCTCCACTTACTGGCTTTGGTCTTTAGACCTTTTCTAAGTCATCCCTAAGATTTAGAACTTCAGTAGTAACACCAGTGCCCTGGCATTGACATAAACCAATTTTTTTCCTTCAAGAATTCAAGGCGCTATATCAGAAATACCACGAGATATCTTCTCTCCCAAAACGAATAGGTATGTCTCCTTAACTATGGGACATGGTGACCACAGCTGATACCAAAGCCCTGAGAACCCCACAAATGGTGAATGAGGGGCCCAGTTAAGGAGATGAATTTTGCTCTTCTCATATAATATTGACTAGTCATCCATTCAGGAAACTTAGGACTCTCTAACTTTATTTCTTCTCTCCATAAAAGGAGGAAATGACATTGTCTTTTGTTATCATCTTTGAGGCTTTATGGGAATCTAAGGGGAAGTGATTAGTTCCAATAAGACATAAACTGGAGGACTTGTGGCTTTAAAATTGTGCCTAAGCTACATTACAGTCTCTGTCAGTATTCGGAAGTACCAGTATGTTGGCATTTTGTATTATTTAACATTATCAGTAAGGACTAAGTAGTTTCCCCTACCCAAGAGAGAGGATAAATGGACATTCAGGCCTTCCAAAGAATAGTTCTGTATAATTGATGTGTCTCCTCTCTTCTCCACTGAATACAAGGTTACTCGCCATGGAAAAGATACAAGAGAAGGTCCTAGGATTTCCTGGCTGCTTAGAATCTTAAGACACTCCTGAGTGGCTGAATGCTCAATCTTCAGATGCTTCAATAAAGCTTGGAACATAAAATGCATAAGTTACATTCAGGGGACCCAAAGGCTTTACGTTCTCATTCCAAAATGGGGCAGGTAAAAGGAAAGATGCAATGAGCATTTTTATTTGGGGCTATGAAGAGAAGTTTTAATGAGAGAGAGAGAGAGAAATCGGAGAGAACTCTTTTAAACATACACCATCATCACCATCCCACGGAAGAAGAAAAGCTGGGGTGGGATCATCCAGCCACAAGTACGGCACTTCACAATGGATAACACAATCACATGACAACATCAAGGTTCAGAAAACACGAAGAACAAATGCCGTTAGTTCCTCTGTGAATACACACAATCAGCAAAGAATGCCTTATTGAAGTTTCCATGGACTCTGTTCATTTATAGGGAGCAGCAGCAGTGAAAATGTCTCAGAACATATGGTGAGACAATGTTGCAGGGCTTCTATGACTGGTCATCCTGGTTTTCAGCCCAACTATATTAGTCAGCATTTTCCAAAGAGACAGACTCAATAGGATAGGGGGTGGCGGGGGCCGGGGGATGTAGATTTATATGGGGAATTGACTCATAAGATCATGGAAGCTGAAGTCCCACCACAGGCCAGCTGGAGACCCTGGTGCAGCAGGGCAGACAACTCCCAAAGTGGGGCTTAGCCTGTGAGGGTTCTTGGCGTCA